TGTAAAGAGATGGTTTATAATCAATGAATCAAAATCCTGATCTGCCATACTGCACTATGAAACAGGTCTGATGGTAGCAAACTGTGTGTGTGACTGTATTACAGCGTTATATTATATGTATAAATATATGTACATCAGTACTGACTTTCATAATAATAATTTAATTTTTAGTGTTTAACAGAACCTGCATTCATGCTCTGAATGTCAGTATATTTCTGAACTAATCCATAGCTCTGTGTCACAGATATAGTTCACTGTCAAGGGTTTTGAAATTTCTAGCTTTTGTACTGAGTATGCAAATATGAGGTAAGTTAACTTTTATTACTTACTGTCTGTCTTTACAGATGGAGTGTAACTTATGCAGTCCTCCATAATATTACATTACATCCAGCACTTATTGGTTTTCATTTTATTTTCCTTAACAAACATAGTTTCAGAAGAGCTTCAAATTTAATATGTATATCTCTTGTTGATAAAAGCACATTGTCCTAGTAACTGTTCATCCAAAACAGTATCTTGTCAGGTTTTACTTATGATAGTAAAATAAAATTTAATTTCAACTGTGCAGGGAATGAAGTGTGATCACTTTATGCCATTGATAGTATAGAATACTTACCCACTGTAAGATGTAGGCCTATAGACAAAATTATTTTTCTATTTTGAGGTGATTATTATTTTCAAAAATATTCTTATATTATAAGCTTATAAACCCTTAATGCCTTAAAGCGTGGTAAAATTGGTAGTGTGTCTTTACCACATATTTACCTTAAGACATAAGATATAATTTTTAGGTGTTGTTTATTTGATTGTTACTGCATTTGCATTGTGTCAAATAGCTGCTCTAATAAACAAGCATGAGTCACAAATGATGAGGAGTGACCATCAATGTTTGAAGAAATATCAAAATGAGTATCCTTTAATTAGAAGTTCCAAACAATCTTGACTCTCTTTCTGAAACTGGATGTACAATATTCTGAATTAACAGTGCCATTAATTCATTCAAGTAATTCTGCAACAAAACCAGTAGAAGGAGTATGTCATTGTCCTTTGTTGAGCCATTGCCACTAGGCCTTTCATTTCTGATAAATTTTGTATCAGTGTATATATTTGAAGTATTAATAGACATATAACTTCACCCTTTTAGGTGTGGAGAAATTGCCACATACCATTTGGAACTATGAAAAATATTACAATAAGGTTGAAAATTCAGCATACTTGGATATTTTAGTTAAATGTATATTAAATCTGTTTCACTAAATGACTTTGCTGCATTCAGGTTAATTATGATTATGTACTATAAATATCAGCCACGGTGGTCTAGCGGTTAGAACGCTGGCCTTGTAATCCTGGGGTCTCGGGTTCGATTCCCGGCGGTGCCCGAATTTATAACTTGTGTTGGGCAAGGCCGTGGTCTAGGCAACACGGAGTTTTCCTCCGGGGGCTTCCCCGGTTTCTCCTGGGCATCCCAACAATTACTCCATTCACACACAGAAGAAGGCAATGGCAAACCACTTCTGGATCATCTGCCAAGAACGTATATGAACAGGTCCCAGTCCGAGAAAAGGATGGAAGGATCCTGTTCATATGGACCTGTCGTCAGACAGAACACTAAATAATAATAATAATAACTATAAATATAGTTAGACACAAACTCATATTAATCTCCTTCTGAGTAACTTTCAATCGTACTACATATTTGACACTAATAGTTGAATATATTGTAAGAAAATAATTACAATTTTTCTGACAATTATAAAGATATTTTTATATAAAATCAACATTAAAGAGGGCAACCTTCTGTCACAGTGTTACATTTTCTTAGAATGTAGTTGCATGTCCCACTGTGGAACAAAAATGAACAGTATATTATCATAATTACAGGCACAGGTGTCTCCCTTACATGTACTGAAAATATTTTAAAACTTATTTCCTGCCTATTTCCTTTTTCACTATGTACATTGTCTAGATTTTCTTCTTTTCTGTGTATTAGACATATAAATCTCACTTTCATAAAGCTCTAGTGGAATAGTCACATTGATTAATCACTGTAAGTTCCTTGAATTTCCAGTTACCAGATTTTTGAAGATGACTCTTGCACACATATCACAATTTTTCTGCTAATATCTTTATATTGTAAATTCTGATTGATGGACAATGGACCTGTTACAGGCACAGATACATGGTCTCACCCCATTGCAAACACTGTTCCACTATACACAATGTAGGCACTTGGGGGGAGAGGGGTATAGCTCCTACTCATTCTTGACCTCGACACCGGAAGGGGCTGAGTGGTCAGCATCAAGCATTGGCCGTGCTTAACCTCCAGGAAAGGCCCCTGGTACCCATTTGATAGGAGGCTGGGTGGGCCCCAGAACTGGTCTGAATGCAGAGACTAGAGTAAAAATTCTCTGCCACCATCGGGGATTGAATCCCGGTTGTCCAGTCTGTAGCCAGTCACTATACTGACTGGGCTATGCCAGCTACTCTCACCTCCATTGCAACAGTATAAAATACATGTAGTAGTATGATTTATCTCTGAAATAACTGATTGCAGCAGTAAATTATAGTGAGTTATACTCTTCAGGCCATTTTCTTTCCTTCTCAAATTACTTTACTCCCTTTTGTTTTCCAGTACCATCTATCCAAAAGAAATAAAGCACTTGAAATTTTGTAAGTCCCAAACCAGAAGTGATGTAAGCCTATAGCTGGTGTCATAATTAAATTCATAATCTCCTCCTTGTACCTGTCTGTGTGACTATTCACTCTCTGTCATTACTTCAAATTATTTATGCCAGATATCTGTTGAGCAAGGACACCAGTGTGCCTGAGTAAGTTGAAAAAAAATATGAATATTTCTGACTTTTCTGAGTCCTGTGAACAAGTGCAATGACAAAATGGAGGCGCTCAGTTGCACATGTTTCCTGATAGACAAGTTGATAAGGTAGGGGTCTCACATTGATACAAAATGACATTTGCAAGTTTGAGTTTTGATGTTTACTTGTATCTCTTTAATACTCATGTTGCATTCTTAAAAATACTCATTTAAACAGTGCAATTATACATTATTCAACTGTGTGTTTCAAAATTTCCACGCAGAATTCTTACCAAGAGCAACTAAAAATGGATTATAAAATATGTAGACTGTGATATTTGAAAGAAAATGTGTAATTGTTATTTATTTGTGGAGCATATGCAGCCCAGTAACCTTTGTCAATGAGCAAAAAGTACTCACAATTATTATAATCCACATTATCACTGTATTCGTGTTGTATTGATGTAGCTGGAAGTGCAATCGAAGCAGGTTCTTCTTTTATTTTTTCATAACTTGTTCTTCAGTTCAAAATATTCTGTCTTCCCATCTGATTTCTAAGAACCTGAAAATTAAAGTATACAAAACAATAATCTTGCCTGTTGTTTTGTATAGGTGTGAAACATGGTCTCTCACTCAGAGGGAGGAACACAGATTGCAGGTGTTTGAGAACAGGGTGTTGAGGAGGATATTTGGGCCTAAGAGGGAAGACGATGGAGCGTGGAGAAAACTGCATAATGATGAGCTTAAAAATCTGTACTCCTCCCCCAGTATTATCAGGGTGATTAAGTCGAGAAGAATGAGATGGGCTGGGCATGTAGCGCGCATGGATGGGACAAGAGGTGTGCACCGGGTATTGGCTGGGAAACCTGAAGGGAAGAGATCGTTGGGGAGACCTAGACGTAGATGGGAGGATAATCTCAGGCAGGATCTATGGGAGATAGGAGTTGAAGGAGACTGGATTTTATTGGCCCAGGACAGGGTCCAGTGGAGGGCTTTGGTTAATTCGGTGATGAACCTTCATGGTTCGGTAAGCCATCTAGTTAGTTAGTTAGTTCTTCATTGACACTTTTATTTGAAGGTTCCATGTTTCAATCTGACTATGGATGAACAATTTTTCCTGACAAGACCCATACATTAGAAGTGTTTTTAGTATGCCTGTTACTAATACAAAATATGAATTAGTGTGTTAGCCCTAAAAGAACTGTTTTTGAGACCTGGTATCTTTATTAAGATGTCAGAATCCATGAACTTTAACCACAGTTATCATTAAACTTGGTATGGACTTCCATTTTTCTTCAAATTAGACACACATATTGCTATCTTTGTTTAATAAACATCTGGAAAAAATAATTACAGTTAATGGAAGGTAGAGAATAGCTGCATATATAGACAAATATAACGATTTTAACTGATGTCACTTACATCACCTCCGGTTTGTAACTAGGAAAATTTCTATCATTTTTGTTTGCTCAGTGTACACTTGTCTATATATTAC